GTTGAGGCAAACAAAGATAATATGGAGTAGACGAATGGCGCAGCAGTTAAAGTACACTGAAACACTTTAATCCTCTTAGTGTTTTTCTTTGCTTTTGGTGATGCATGCAGCTCCATAATGAGAAAAACTGTGTGGAACCATTATTGTAATTTTATGGTAAAAAAAGGCACTCCCTCACCCTCCTCCCTACATTTCAGATAAGTGGGGGAGAACAGATGAGGTGGAGAGAGAAAGCGGCAGTTTCAGAGTATGAGAAAGTTGCGAAGAGGAGGACAACGGTCTCCACAGGGAGCCCTCATCATCAGGAGACAGATTGGGACAACGTCTCATTGTCCTTGACTGTAGGGGAGGGAGAGAGGAGCTCGTACCGATCCATCTCCACCCGTCTCCTCCCCTTCTCTCTACCACCTCTCAGCCTTCTCCTGTCATTTGTATCACCCCATCCAATCCAATTGTCTTTCACTTTTTCATCTCCCTGCACCTCTCAAAATCTATAACAATAATTTCTCTCCCCTTTTCTTTATGTCTTTACATCTCTCTGTCCCCATGATATTTATCAGTCTACTATACTGCTATTGAGAGACAGACTCTTCTCATTCATCTGTAGGCCCGGGCAGTTAGAGAGCAGCTCCACACCAAAGCTTTGACCCTTGACCCCGTATTTCCGCGAAGTCATTTATCATCAATGGTGCTCATACAGTCGCACAGTCAGACACACACACACACACGCACACACACACAGCAGGAAGGAAGCATACCCTCTATGGGGACGTAGCTGAGAGGACTGGGTTCCTCTGGGAACGAGGCGTCCGCCAGTTGAAGCAGCAGGAGAAGAAATGTGAGGGGAGGGGCCACAGTCACCATGGCAGCAACACACATGAACTGAAAAAGAGATGGGAGAGAAAATGTCATTGTTGTGTACGCTTTATGTTTTCAGTGTGTGCATGTGCGAGAGTGTACGTGAGAGTGTGAGTGAAATTATGACAGATTTCTTATCAACAGGTTTGTGTGTGTGTGTGTGTGTGTGTGTGTGTGTGTGTGTGTGTGTGTGTGTGTGTGTGTGTGTGTGTGTGTGTGTGTGTGTGTGTGTGTGTGTGTGTGTGTGTGTTTGCGAGGACCGGGTCAGAAGTGCAGCAGGGTGACTGCTGCCACCAACCTTGCTGCAGCGGGAAGCTTGTGCGTTTCTATTGTCTGCTCTTTGGTGTAATGGTGATCCATTCTCGGAAAAGTCAATCCATTGTCAAGCTGTTTGAATTGAAGGGGATTCTCACAGTCATACAACACTTCAAGAGACAGAACAGTCACGTGATTACAATGCCACTTTTGGTGGTAATGTTCCTTTCTCTAATTGTGTTTCTGTATGGACAGGATATATTACTGGTGATTTGCGACTAAAAAGGAACAGTTGTCTTTATAGAGAGTGAAGTATAAGAAGAGGTGAAGGGAGTGACTCGGTAAGCTGGACAATGTCTTTCCAAAGGTCAAAAGTCAAGAATGCTCTAAATCATGAACAAGGAGAAGGGGAGTCAAAAGGTTGTGGTCTTTATAAAGTTAATAGGCCACAAAAGGTTCACACTGGGCAAGATATGACCACACACAGTAAAACAAGTGCAACGCTAGCATTTCAGCACACTATAGTTTGAGCTAATTGCTTACCTCAGATGCCAACATGCTGGTAATGAGTAAGTTAAAGGTCCCATGTCATGCTTTTCCGGTTATTACCCGTCCCCTTAGGTGTTATGAAGGTTTTTCTGCATGTAAACGGTCTGCAAAGTCACAAACCCTCAAAGTACACCCTGTAGCGAGCAAAACTCTAACACAGAAAAGACCTGTCTATGCTGCCCCAGAACGCCTCTTTGGAGATTTATCTTTTTCCATTGTTTTCTTCCTGGGTATGGTGACGTGCCCATACCCAAATGGACCCATTGGTCCTATTTGGTCATTAACAAAAGCCAAGAAATTGCATCTGTAAGATTCATCCAGCGGGGACTTTGAATATCTTTACACATTTTAATGGCAATAAATAAAATAAGTCCACAATCTTTTTTTAGTTGTGACGAAAGTGGTGGATTAATTGGCAAACAGACACACAAAAATGCTACTAGCATGGCAAAAAACAACAACATAGAGGGGTAACAAATATGCTCTGCAGCCTCTCTTTCACCTATAAAACCAAGACAGTAGAATAACACTGCTTCACATAAGTTACTACCAGTAACAAAATTGTAGAAGCAATGCCATCAATCACATTAAATGTGGATGTTCTCTTTGTATTTCCTCAAAAAGCCTGTGGCTGATCTGCACAGTCTTTGATGTAAGAATACTTTGGAAAAAGAAGAGGATGTACAAAGAGAAGGAAAGAAAAGACAAATGATCAGAATAACAAGGGGGGAGCTCTGAGGATTTTGTCTTGGGTTGCTGAGAGTGCTGTGAACACAAATGAAAAAAGGTTGAAAAAAAGCAAAAGATGTGAAAAATATAAATGCTGTTCCCATCGAATCAACCTGAATACAGTGTTCCATGTTTCCCCCAACCCCCGCGTATTTCCTTTCATCCTCAGCCTTTCTCCCTCCATCACCCACCTCCGCCCTTCATTTCTCTTTCTTTATACCTCGCAGCTTGTCTGTTCCAGGATGAAAACCCCACGACTGCTGTCAAAGATAGAACAGATAGAAAGGTAGATGTGCCAGTTGCTAAGGTGATGACAACTGCTATTTGAAGATGTAACACGCACATATAAATAAGCATGATTACCTGTGTTTCCAACACTTCAGATTGTGCATGTGTGTGATTGACAGCAGTTTGAGGACAGCAGTAAGGCAATGTGGGGTTGCATACTATACACTGGGGGTCTCTTCAAATGAAATTCTAGCCCAGAGATTGCAGATTTGACATCTCTAAGCCTTCTCCTCATCAGCAGCACCGGAGGAGCCCTGAGGGGGCTGGGAGGCTTGTTTCATCTAAATCTCCATTGGGATTCCCTGAACTAGAACTGATCGAGTCAGGTGTAGGGTCAGACTCATTTCATTATGGCCATTTTATGAGAATCAAAATGTGATGCTTTAAACACAAAATGAAATTGTTTTTTCTTGTATGGACTCTTAGAAACGATGAAATGAAATGGAATGTGTTTTTCAGTGAGATTAGGCATCATATGGTTGTTGCTTGCGCCAAAACCAAGATTTATTTTGAAAATCACAGTTGAACGTGCAGACATGGTATAAATATTAAAGATTCAGTGGGACTTCATCTTTCTAAGAATCTGATTATGTCTGACAAACGCCTACAAATGTAAATGTATGCACACACACACACACACACACACACACACACACACACACACACACACACACACACACACACACACACACACACACACACACACACACACACACACACACACACACACACACACACACACACAAGGGTGTAACTTTGGTTTGAGAAGTGGGGGGGACACAAAACAGGGGGTCCTCCGCAATGAAACATTGTTCTCGATTTAATTCCATTTCCTGCCTTTCTACAAATATATTAGGGACTATGGTGTTAACTAATCCAAGAAAAATGTGGAGTGTAATGAGTGTGCAAACTTATCTAGTATCCTCTCCATGTGAGCCTGTTTTATTTGTGATGACCTCACAT